CGCACTACCCGCCACCAAGTTCGTAGAGAACGAGGGGAGGTAGAGACCTGACAGAGTGCCCGACGGGACCGCAGGACAAGGGAGAACAGTAGAGGAGGTCGCAATGACCGGACCCCCAGAGGGGTCAGCGAGGGAGACTGCAACCGGCCGAGCAAGCTGCTCAAGGGCAGTGCGGTCACGAAAGAAACAGCGGGAAGCGCCTGAGTCCAGTGTGAAGGTGTGCAGTGCCTCAGTAGACGCAGTACCAGAGGGCGCAGACTCACGAGTACCTAGAGCAGCAGCCTCACCAGCACCTGGGGCAACAGACACACGAGCACCTAGTGCAGCAGCCTCACCAGTACCTAGAGCAGCAGACTGGATACCGGGGTCAGGCGGCACACACAGGTGACAGGCACTCTCAGCACTAGTAGGAAATGCATACATGGCAGTGAGGATAGCATCATAGTCAAGAGCATAGATATCTACCCTCTGCCTAAGCAGCTCCACCCAGTCGGGGAGCTCAGCCGCGTCGCCAAACTCTGTATGCCAGGCGTCGCTCAGACGGGCGAAGCAGCGGGACTCTGTGTGACCAAACGTCCCGCAAGGCTGACCAGTCCGAGCACCAGTGCGAATGACGTACGGGCAGCGAGCAGTACCCCGTGACCCTCCACGCTGAGCGTACCACTCACGAAGCTGCTGGGGCGTGAGGGACTCACTCGGACGTCGCGGGAGCTACATCTGGCCACCGCCAAGAGCAGCAGTAGCAGTAGTAGTAGCAGCAGCGCGGCCACCCCTACAACCCCAACCAGCATACCACTCACGAAGCTGTTGGGGCGTGAGGGACTCACGCGGACGGCGCTGGAGCTGCATCTGGCCACGCCAGGAGCAGCAGTAGAAGTAGAAAGAGCAGTAGCAGCAGGAGCAGCAGTAACAGCAATACGGGCAGGGCAGTGCTCACCAGTGGCGAGAAGAGCAGGCGTACGACGGTGGTAACGGCGGGGCCGCTACCACTGCAGGGCGAGGGCTCCGCGGCAGCTGCAGGGGCGGCTGCTCCAGGGGCCAGGGGCGGCTGCAGAGGTCCAGGGGCGGCTGCTGCAGGGGCAGCTGCTGCAGGGGCGGCTGCTGCAGGGGCGGCTGCTGCAGGGGCGGCTGCTCCAGGGGCGGCTGCTCCAGGGGCCAGGGGCAGCTGCTCCCTTTTTTTTTTTTTTTTTTTTTTTTTAAATAATTAATTATTTATTTTAGGGTTTGGCAGAGCGCACTCGGCGCTGTAGAGGCGGCTCGCGGGCTGCAGGGTGGCTCGGGCAGCAGCGAGGGGGGGGGGGGGGGGGGGCGGCGCGCGGCTCCCCAGGGCGCCGCGACGGGGCAGCGGGGGGGGGGGGGGGGGCGCGCGCGGCTCCCCAGGGCGTCGCGACGGGGGCAGCGGGGGGTCGCGCGCGGCTCCCTAGGGCGTCGCGACGGGTCAGCGGGGGCCGAGCGCGGCTCCCCAGGACGTCGCGACAGGGCAGCGGGGGCCGAGCGCGGCTCCCCAGGGCGTCGCGACGGGGCAGCGGGGGCCGAGCGCGGCTCCCCAGGGCGACGCGACGGGATAGCGGGGGTCGCGCGCGGCTCCTCAGGGCAGCGCGACGGGGCAGAGGCAGCGCCCACGGGCGACACGCGGCTCGGCAGGGCAGCGCGCTGGCTGCAGGGGCGGCTCTCGGGCCTGACGGGCCTGCAGAGGCGGCTCGGGGGGGCCTGACGGGTCTGCAGAGGCGGCTCGGGGGCCTGACGGACCTGCAGGGGCGGCTCGAGGGCCGTACTAGCTTGCAGGAGGCAGCGCGAGGGCTGCAGGACGGCACGCGGGCAGACCGAAGGGCAGGTCGCACGGGGGCGCACGAGGGCGCACGTAAGGTAGGGCGCACGAGGGCGCACGAGGGCGCACGAGTATAGAAAGGCGCACGAGGGCGCACGTAAGGTAGGGCGCACGAGGGCGCTTCTAGCGGAATAGTGGGCCCGTAGGAGAAAGCGGTCCTAGGTAGCAACCTAGGCTCGTGATACCATGTTAGAATGTAGAACTGAACGAGAATGTGTGAAACTAGGCAGCAGGGTGATACAAGTAGGAAACCCTAGCAATGTTGTACCCCCTAAGGCTAAACCCACTATAGCCTACACAATATGAACATGTATAATGTTTGACAAGGGGGTGTACAAGGAGTGCATGGTGCGCAGGACACAACCACGAATACATGGGTATGAAATGTAAAGATAGATTTGTCTGGTCGGCAGGAAAGTAGGACAGCAAAAAGGAAGACATAATAGCAGAGAAGATGGTAGGAAGGAGGAGTGGGATGATAAATTGGGAGGGGGATTGGAAATCGGAAGAGCAGGATGGAATGTGGTGGTACAGAAGCACAGTAAGTGATAATAAGCACTTGAAATGACTACGGAAGACAGATAACAGGGTGGTAAGTGCTTGGTGGATCGGAAATAAGAAGAGTAAGAAAAAAACAGCCCGATACGGTGGCACGTGCAACCCGCCCATCCCGTATCCCGACCCTGATCCCCATGTGCACTTCCACCTCATGCACGGTACGTACATTATGCCACGGTCTGGGTGTTCGTAACCTCGTCTATGGAGCTGCCCTTAGACCAGATTGGTTTGACACTGCCGACGGTTGGTGACGTGTGACGCTGTTTCTCGTGTTAAACCGCCGGTCCTCGACCGGCGGCGAAAGCGCCTCCACCTTGCTGTGATCCGCTAGCGTCGCACACTCGCGTAGACGGGACCCTCGCGTTGGATTGATCCGCCCGCGTCCGCCAGTCGACGTCGCAGGGCAGCGCTCAAGGTGCCTGGTTTGTGCCACGTGACGAGGGAAACACGATCAGCTGGACAGGTCTGTAGCTGACTCGCTAAGGGTAATTAGGGGGGGAAGGGATGCCGAAAGGCAAGGGCAGGGAGGGGGTGGGGGGGAAGGAAAACGACAAGACGAATGCGCCTGAGCATTTGAGGTCAAAGCAGTGCGCACGGAAGCTGTACATTTCATATACAATTTAGGAAAGGCACGCATGTTGAAGCATTTACTGACCTAAAGCGGCTGGTATTGGTGCAATGTCGAAGCGGTTAAGGCCAAACGAGCCAGGCGTTAATGAGGAACATCCGGGTGTTTTGCCGGATCAGTCCCTTGAGTGAAAATGAAAAATGACAGAGGAATCCCGCCATAGCTTTCTATGCTGCCGAGAACAGCATTGACAACATCATAGTTGTCGAATGTACAATTTCCTTTTTAATCATTTCGGTTCTTTAACTAATGAAGCGTCCGTCATGAAATTGCAAAGAAGACTAAAACCTTCAAGTTTGACAAAATGTTTTATCCTGGAGCAACGCAGGCATTTGTGTTTGACGAGCTCTTCAAGTTCGTTACAACTGCGCTCGACAGGTTCAATGTGGTTGCCAACTGTAATATACCTCATTGGTTTGTCATTAAATATATTACTAACCTAATATCTACTTTATTTCAACAAGCTTTTTTTTTCTACGGTCGAACCGGATCAGGGAAGTTGTATACTATGTACGAAGAGGCGCTTCGTGGCATTTTGCAATACAAACAGAAAAAACACAACTAAGGCAGGATGCGGATAGGGATAGGTAATGATCCAGGAAAGGCAAGAAATAAAAAGGGTGAAGCGGCGACTGTGGGTTGTATTGGAATGACAGGATGCAGGATGAGATGCGAATACTACGTAGCATGGGTACGATGTCACCTCAGCAGATTATGCGTCTAGTGCTCACCTAATGCGCAAACTGCCGGTTGGGGTTGTCGTTAGTCCGTCACTACTCAGATCCGTCCTGGTTCGCATCTGAGAGTCAAACGAAATAGTAGGGGGTGTACAAGGAGTGAATGGTGCGCAGGACACAACCACGAATACATGGGTATGAAATGTAAAGATAGATTTGTCTGGTCGGCAGGAAAGTAGGACAGCAAAAAGGAAGACATAATAGCAGAGAAGATGGTAGGAAGGAGGAGTGGGATGATAAATTGGGAGGGGGATTGGAAATCGGAAGAGCAGGATGGAATGTGGTGGTACAGAAGCAGAGTAAGTGATAATAACCACCTGAAATGACTACGGCAGACAGATAACAGGGTGGTAAGTGCTTGGTGGATCGAAAATAAGAAGAGTAAGAAAAAAACAGCCCGATACGGTGGCACGTGCAACCCGCCCATCCCGTATCCCGACCCTGATCCCCATGTGCACTTCCACCTCATGCACGGTACGTACATTATGCCACGGTCTGGGTGTTCGTAACCTCGTCTATGGAGCTGCCCTTAGACCAGATTGGTTTGACACTGCCGACGGTTGGTGACGTGTGACGCTGTTTCTCGTGTTAAACCGCCGGTCCTCGACCGGCGGCGAAAGCGCCTCCACCTTGCTGTGATCCGCTAGCGTCGCACACTCGCGTAGACGGGACCCTCGCGTTGGATTGATCCGCCCGCGTCCGCCAGTCGACGTCGCAGGGCAGCGCTCAAGGTGCCTGGTTTGTGCCACGTGACGAGGGAAACACGATCAGCTGGACAGGTCTGTAGCTGACTCGCTAAGGGTAATTAGGGGGGGGAAGGGATGCCGAAAGGCAAGGGCAAGGAGGGGGTGGGGGGGAAGGAAAACGACAAGACGAATGCGCCTGAGCATTTGAGGTCAAAGCAGTGCGCACGGAAGCTGTACATTTCATATACAATTTAGGAAAGGCACGCATGTTGAAGCATTTACTGACCTAAAGCGGCTGGTATCGGTGCAATGTCGAAGCGGTTAAGGCCAAACGAGCCAGGCGTTAATGAGGAACATCTGGGTGTTTTGCCGGATCAGTCCCTTGAGTGAAAATGAAAAATGACAGAGGAATCCCGCCATAGCTTTCTATGCTGCCGAGAACAGCATTGACAACGTCATAGTTGTCGAAGGTACAATTTCCTTTTTAATCATTTCGGTTCTTTAACTAATGAAGTGTCCGTCATGAAATTGCAAAGAAGACTAAAACCTTCAAGTTTTACAAAATGTTTTATCCTGGAGCAACGCAAGCATTTGTGTTTGACGAGCTCTTCAAGTTCGTTACAACTGCGCTCGACAGGTTCAATGTGGTTGCCAACTGTAATATACCTCATTGGTTTGTCATTACTTATATTACTAACCTAATATCTACTTTATTTCAACAAGCTTTTTTTTTTCTACGGTCGAACCGGATCAGGGAAGTTGTATACTATGTACGAAGAGGCGCTTCGTGGCATTGTTCCAAGAATTTTGGAGAAGATTTTCAATGTCATCCGCGTTTTGTGTCAACGAGTGTAAACGGTTGGCCCCTCCCTGCGCCGCGCCCGCCGTCCCTCCGCCCGCGCGGGGACGGCCTCGGCGGGCGGGCGGCGGCCGCGGCCCCTCCCCGCGCCGCGCACGCCACCCCTCCCCCCGCGCGGCCCCGGCCTCGGCGGGCGGGCGGCGGCGCGGCTCCCCCCGCGCGGGGACGGCCTCGGCGGGCGGGCGGCGGCCGCGACCCCTCCCCGCGCCGCGCCCGCCGCCCCTCTCCCCGCGCGGCCCCGGCCTCGGCGGGCGGGCGGCGGCGCAGCTCCCCCCGCGCGGGGACGGCCTCGGCGGGCGGGCGGCGGCCGCGGCCCCTCCCCGCGCAGGGGGAGCTGCGCCGCCGCCCGCCCGCCGCCCCTCCCCCCGCGCGGCCCCGGGCCCTCCCCGCGCCGCGCCTGCCGCCCCCGCCGCCTCTCGACGGGCAAAGTTCATATTGAATGGGATGTTGGCGACATAAACTCTGCGCCGTGCAGGCTCCCCGGCGGCCGGAGCAGGCCGCCCGACTGGAGCAGTCCGCCCGGCATTCTCGTTGCCCGGCGTCAAATCGGGCCCCACAAACTTAGCAAGAAAGCAAAATGTGGCATGGCCCTGATTTGAGATTTGAGATAAAGACAGAAAAAAGAAATCATTTACCAACAAGAATCAGAAGCCTAAAAATTTTAAGAACAACAAAAATTGCAATAAGACGATAGAGATAATCGATAATAAAAACATAGCTCCACTTACTTTATTGACCTTGTTTCGTTCACGAAGCGCCAAGCATGCAGAGCGCGTCGATTTGAATATGATTACTCCGAAGCGTGTGCGCTCATTCGTCGATCCAATAGGAGCGTGTGCGCTTTTTCGCCGATCCAATAGCGATGTCGACGAATTCCACCTCCCCAAACTCTTCAAACATTTGCGAATCAACAAACGCTACTTCAGGTTCACATAACACTTAACAAAGAATAACGTTGAAAAAAAATAAAAGAATAGAGATAAAAATCATAGCCCAAATTAATGTTTATCAACCGATTGCACAACGAACTTAATGATACAAATTTTAACTTACTGAAATCAACGTTGATTTTGAGATATCAGGCAACCCCAACACAAGGAGCTTGCGACTCGCCCCATCAGTGTTGGCGACGGTCAGCACTTGCTCAAGTAAACGTTCGTGCTTTAAAAGCCTGTATCACGCACGTGTGAAAGAACATAATTGCATAAGAGAAAGCACAAGTGCACACCAGCATACAAACCAAAATATCATCTATAATAAGTCAAGTTATGATTATTCTCTGTGACAATGAGAACGAGAATGGATGAACTATGAATGAAGTGAGTACATATAGGAAACCCTAATTGGGTTGTACCCCCTATGGGATACCCCACTATAGCCTACACAACAGCATAAGCTATATATATGTTCTGACACACCCCCATAGGCAAAGTGGGGGAGAACAAGGGGTCACAAGACCAGTCACGCAAAGAACAGCAAGCTCAGGGTGGATCACAAAGTCACCACACAGTCCGAGCACAACGACAAGGCCACAAGGCCAGTTCACATGCAGGAGTGCACATATATATATAGAGCTAGACAAGCAAGAGCAGGTATATATATGTGACAGTACAAGCAAGGTCAAGAGGAGAGCAAGTGAGGCAAGACAGGTACAAGACCCAGCTGAGTGCAGAAGCGCTGATGGTCACAAGGCGGAAGTGCCTTGGTGAACACATCAGCAGTGTTGGCCTCAGAGGCCACGTACGCAAGTCGCAACTGACCACGCTGCTGCAGCTCACGAGCAAGAAAGTAACGGAGAGCAATGTGCTTCGTTCTGTGCTCCAAGCGCTGCTCTCGACACAAGGCCAACATGGCCTTGTTGTCTACGTACAGCACTGGAGGAGAACGAGGCGGCTCTCCAAGGTCAGTCAGCAGGTAGGTGAGCCAGCGAAGCTCCTGTGCAGCCATGGCCCCGGCGTAGATCTCAGCCTCACAACTGGAGCCGAGAACAGAGGACGAGCGAGTAGCCCACCACGAGACAGAGCCGGAACCAAGACTGAAGGTGTAACCCTGCGACGATCGCTGCGTAGCCTGGTCGTCAGCCCAAGAAGCGTCCGCGTGCCCAGTGAGCACCACTGGACTCCGCCCTCCAAGCACTAGCCCCATGCCCGACGTACTGCACAAGTAGCGCAACACCCTCTTCGCTGCAGCCATGTGCTCTGGTCGGTGTCTCCCAGGAGCAACATAGCGTGCAAGAATGCTAAGAGGGTATGCAAGGTCAGGTCGTGTGCAGGTCATCAGGTACATGAGGCAACCAACAAGCTCTGGGTACGGGCCACTCGACTCTACGGACTCATCCGAAGGCAGAGCTGAGAGCGAGTGGCGAGTAGACAGAGGAGTGGCCTGAGGCGAGGAGTACGTGAAGCCGAAGCGCTGAAGGACCTGCTGCACCATGTGTGACTGAGTCAAGGTAATGGTGCGGCGTGCTCTGTCCCGAGTGATCTGCAAGCCAAGGTAGCTGCGCAGTTCACCCAGGTCTGTGCACGTGTGTCTCTTCTGCAGCTCGGACTTCACGTAGGCTAGTCCAGCAGTGTCAGCTGTGGCAAAGACCAAGTCGTCGACGTACACGAGGATGTAGAACGGCGGCAAAGAAGTGTCGGTGCGCAGAAACAACGACGGGTCAGCAGTAGAGGGAGCAAACCCAAGAGCCGCAAGCGTAGTCCTCAGTGTGTCGTGCCACTCACGCGGTGCCTTGCGGAGACCGTAGACTGGCCGTCGGAGGCTCCACTGGGTGCCAGGAGGGAAAGTCCCAGTGAAGCCAGGTGGACGGCGCAGCCAGATCTCCTCGTGCAGGCTACCCTGCAAGAAAGCAGTGCTGAAGTCAAGAGAGTGGAGCTCGTAGTCGCGCTGAGCGGCTATGTGCAGCAGCACCCGAAGAGTGGTCATCTTCGGGGTGGGAGAGAAGGTCTGAAAGTAGTCAACTCCCTGCCGCTGACTGAAGCCACGAGCGACGTACCGCGCCTTGAAGACAGGTGGAGAGCCCGGCGGCCGCTTCACCCTGAAGATCCACATGCCACTGACGATGTTCGCCCCAGGAGGGGGAACCGCGTCAACGTAGGTGCCTGTGGACTTCCAGGACGCCATCTCTGCATCCATAGCTGCCTGCCACTGAGAGGAGTAGGGACCCTCTACGGCCTCCGCGTAAGAGCGCGGAGTCGGGATGTCTAGTGCATCCGGGTCTCCCTCAGGGGCAAGTAGTACGGACGCGAGATGAGGTGAAGCAGCAGCCAGACACTGGAACTCCTCCTCCCTGTCCTCAAGGACGTCCGTGCCAAGAGCACACTCACCCCCGACGGACGGAGGACAGACAGATGCAGACTCAGCAACAAGACCGACAGCGTAGTCTAGACGACAGCGAGCAGCAAAGTCGACGAGCTCAGCAACAAGAGCAGACGCAGCAGTGGACTCAAAAGAGGGGTCAGTGACGACAGTAGCAAGGAGACGTGTGACAGTAGGACTGGTAGCACGAAGAGAGTCGGACTCTGGGTCGGTAAGTGCAGGAAGAGAGGACTCAGGAGGAGAAGGCAAAGGGGCACGCAAAGGAGCAGTGGACGGACGCAAAGACATCCGGTGCGTGCCAGGGACAGGAGGAGGACGCTGACGCGAACCGCGACCACTAGTGCGAGCAGCACGAACAGGCGACGCAGGACGAGACGCAGGCTCACGACGCTCAGCAAGACCTCCAGTGGGACCAGTGTAAGGAGAGGGAGCAGGAAGTGGGGAGGCGGGCTCTAGCTGGGACTGTGACTGAACAGGCGGTGGACACGCTGCAGGAGGAGAAAGACCAAGAACCTGCTGTAGGAGTGGAACGAAGTACGGCCGAGGCCGCGCGGCGACTCCAGACACAGCAGGGACAGCACCCTCAGCAGCAGCACCAGCGCCAACAGCACCTCCAGGGGCAGGACCTCCAGCAGCACCAGCAGCACCAACACCCGCAGCAGCTCCAGCTCCAGGCGGACCCGAAGGCCCAGCAGCTCCGGGACCAGCGGCACAAGTACCCTCAGCAGTCGAAGGAGCTCCGGCTCCAGCAGTACGTCTCCAGCGGCGAGCAAACCACTCGCGCAGCTCCTGTGGAGAGAGCGGCTCCCGCCGAGGCGAAGCACCCGGAGAACCGCCAGGTCCCGCACCGCCAGACGCCACAAGGGGAGGTCCAGTGGCCGCAGGCTCCGCAGCTCCAGGCTCAGCAGCTCCAGACGCAGCACCCCCTGGCTCAGCACCCCCAGTCGCAGCACCCCCAGGCTCAGCACCCCCAGACTCCGCACCCCCAGGCTCAGCACCCCCAGTCGCAGCACCCCCAGGCTCAGCACCCCCAGACTCCGCACCCCCAGGCTCAGCACCCCCAGTCGCAGTACCCCCAGGCTCAGTACCCCCACACTCAGCACCCCCAGGCTCAGCACCCCCAGGCTCAGCACCCACGCGCGTAGCACCCCCAGAGTCAGCACCCCCAGGCTCAGCACCCGCAGCAGGACCAGAGTCACCAGCAACCTCGACCGGCTCGACTGCGTCTACCTGGGACACACCTGAAGGGGCAGGACCCTGAGGGGGAAGGGGGTCTACCGGGGGGGGACCTGGCACAAGGAAGTGCGGTGGCGGGGGGAGGGAAGGAGTGCGGTAGGGGAAGAGGCGGTAGAAGGGGACTGACTCGTCGAACGTGACGTCCTGGGAGGACAGAACACGACGAGAGGAGGGGTGGTAGAACTGCCACCCTGGGGCGTCAGGGGGGAAGCCGAGGAAGACACAGGGAGCAGCACGAGGGGACAGCTTGTCCGCAGACAAGTCGCGGACAAACGCCCGAGATCCCCAGACACGGAACGCAGATGCATCGCCGACCTTCCCCGTCCACAGCAGAGCTGGGGAGGTCTCCGGCCGGGAGACCCTGGGGTGAAGGTTGATCTGATGCGCCGCGTACCGAACCGCAAACGGCCACAGAAAATGGGGGGCAGCCGCATGCATCATGGACGTACGAGCGACGTCCATGACCATGCCAATGCGGCGCTCAGCAATCCCATTTTGCTGTGGAGAGTCCGGAAGCGTAAAGGTCTGGCGGATGCCTCGTGCACGACAGTAGGCTCGCAGAAGGCCAGAGGAGAACTCTCCACCTCGGTCAGAGTGCAGACGCAGAACAGGAAAGTCCGAGCCGAAGCTCCTCCTGAGCTGGAGACGAGCTGCGCGGATCCAGTCGATCAACACCTCAGTAACATCACCCTTGCTGCGCAAGGGGAAGACTGTGGTGTAACGCGAGTAGTCGTCAACCACCAGCAGGAAGTAGCGCTCGTGACCCTGCCCACGGACGCGGGCCGGGCCCCACACGTCCATGTGAAGCGTCTGCAGAGGAGCCTCTGTCGGGGGAAACTGGGAGGAGTGAGGGGCAGCCCGGAGCCGCCCCTCGACACAGGGGACACAGGAAGGTCCGGGTCCCGAGGGAAGGGGAGGGAGAGACCGGGGAAGACCAGAGACAAGGACACGGGAAGCCATGCCCCGAAGACGAGGCAAGGAGGGGTGGCCAAGACGGTGGTGCCACAGGAGAGTCTCCTGAGACAGGCGGCGACACGAGCAGGGGGCAGACTCAGGACCAGAACTGGACGCAGCAGCAAACACCTGACCCGACGCAGCTACCTGGCCAGACGCAGGGACAGGAGGAGACTCAGTGGTCAGGGTGTAGAGACTCGACCCCGGCCGACGCGAAAACGTGGCCAGGTGTCGGCCTGTGCGGGCGTCCGAGCAGTGGGTCACCCGCTGACTCGCAGGAGTAAACTGGTGAACCCCCGCATCCTGCAGGTCAGCACCACTCACCAAGTTCGTCGAGAACGAGGGGAGGTACAGACCAGACAAGGTGCCCGAGGGGGCAGCCGGACACGGGAGGACAGTGGAGAAGTGAGAGAGGACAGGACCCCCAGAGGGGTCAGCCAGGGAGACTGCAACCGGCCGGCCAAGCGGCGTGAGTGTGGTGCGGTCTCGAAAGAAGGAGCGAGAAGCCCCTGAGTCAAGCGTGAAGGTGAGGGAGGCCGAAGCCGACGCAGTACCTGAGAGCGCAGCCTCACCAGTACCTGAGAGTGCAGACGCACTGGCACCTAGAGCAGCAGCCGCAGAAGTACCTGGCGCAGCAGTACCAATGCCCGGGTCGGGCGGGAAACACCGGTAACAGTCACCCTCCTCACTAATAGTCACAGCATACATGGCAGCAAGGATAGCATCAAAGTCAAGATCAAAGATAGCTACGCCAGCCCTAGACAGCTCTCCCCAACGGGGAATCTCACTAGCCTCGGGGAACTGCTGACGCCAAGCGTCCGTCAGGCGGCCAAAGCAGCGCTGGGTGGGGTGGGCACCCCCACACTGCTCACCCGCGCGGTCGCCGGAACGAAGGACGTAGGTGCACGGACCAAAACCCCCACCCCGCTGACGCTGCGTGTACCACTCACGGAGCTGCTGGGGCGGGGGGATGTCCCGCGAACGCTGCTGCTGCTGCTGCTGCTGACGCTGGCCACCACCAGAGCCGCTACGCTGCGGGGCACCACCCCGACCAGCTCCACCCCCTCCGCCACCGCCGCCTCCACCTCCACCACCACCGCTGCCTCCGCTCCCACCGCTGCCGCCGCCACCGCCTCCTCCTCCGCTGCTGACACCGCCACCACCGCCCCCGCCACCACTCCCACCGCCACTCCCACTCCCTCCGCCGCCTCCACCGCCACCTCCACCGCCCCCGCCAGGTCCACCCGCGCCCTTGCCCCCCTTGCCCCTGCCAGGGCGGCGTCTCCCGCTAGGGGCAGACGCCGCGCAGACCGACTCAAGACCAAGCAGGTCGGCAGCAGCAGCAGAGGCAACAGAGGGCAGCAGGGGGGAAGGAGAACACCCCTCAAAGATGGGGGTGCGAGGGTCACCACGAGAGGCTCCTACAGCGACTATGCTCTTCTCCGCCGCCAGGAGGGACTTCTCGAGGAGGTCGACAGTGAGAGTGGTGGGACAGACTGAGAGGAAGTGGTCCCTGACTACGTGAAGGGAGTCAGGGAGACGTGTGACTATGTAATAGAGAGTGATGTACATGGGGGGGGGGTTCTTGGCGCAGAACTCAGCAGGAAGGGCGGCACGGTAGCGAGTGTCACTAGTGCGGAGGTGCGTAATGAGGTCAGCGACAGTGGGAAAGGCAGCAAGGTCAGGAAAGAGGTACGGTAGCATGAGGCGGCTAAGGGCAGCAGTGGCAGGGGAAGAGTAGCGCGCAACTACAGCGTCGTACAAGGTCTGAGCACTCTTGTACTGACTAAAGTGCGCGCGCTCAGTGGTAGGCAGGTGGCGACGCACAGCAAGACGTGCAGCAGCATCGCGGGTGGCCCACTGAGAGCGAACAGTGGGGTCAGCATCAGCAGCAGGGGCAGGAGAGGCGCCAGAGGTGAGGTCAAAGAGGGAAAGACCGTCCGCCCTATCGCACTGTAAGAACAGCTGCAGGTCGTCGACCCAGACCTCAAAGTCAATGGCTCGACCCTCAGCGTCAAAAGCGAGGACACTAGGGGTAGCCATGACGACGACAGTGTAGTAGTGCAAGCAGTAGGGGAAGGGCACGCAGTAACAGTGGTGCTGTGCTCACCAGGCAGGGCCGGTCGGGCGGCTCGGCAGTAGGGCGGCCCGGCGACTGGGCGGCTCGGCGGCTCGGCTGCTGGGCGGCTCGGCTCCCGGGCGGCTCGGTGGCAGGGCGGCTCGGCGGCAGGGCGGCTCGGCGGCCGGGCGGCTCGGCGGCTCGGCTCCCGGGCGGCTCGGCGGCAGGGCGGCTCGGCAGCAGGGCGGCTCGGCTGCAGGGCGGCTCGGCGGCCGGGCGGCTCGGCTGCAGCGCGGCTCGGCGGCGGGGCGGCTCGGCTGCTCAGCTGCTGGGCGGCTCGGCTGCGCTGCTGTTGGGCGGCTCGGCTGGGCCGCTGACGTAGCGAGGCGGCGGGGCCGCGAAGACGGGCGGCGGGGCCGCTGCAGAGAAGCGGCGGGGCCGCAGGGAAGGGCGGCGGGGCCGCAACGAGAGAGGCGGCGGGGCCGCAGCGAGAGAGGCGGCGGGGCCGCAGCGAGAGAAGCGGCGGGGCCGCGAAGTCGGGCGGCGGGGCCGCTGAGTAGGGCGGCGGGGCCGCAGTGAGAGGCGGCGGGGCCGCAGCGAGAGAGGCGGCGGGGCCGCGAAGACGGGCGGCGGGGCCGCAGTGAGTGGCGGCGGGGCCGCAGCGAGAGATGGCGGCGGGGCCGCGAAGACGGGCGGCGGGGCCGCAACGAGAGAGGCGGCGGGGCCGCAGGTAAGGGGCGGCGCGAAGCCGCCGGTGAGGGCGGCGTAAAGCCGCGGGTAAGGGCGGCGACGGGCCGGGAAAAGGGGCGGCGCGCCGCAGCCGCTATGGCGGCTCGACGCGACCGTAAGGGCGGCGCTACGGGCCGCTAGGTGCGACTCGACGGGCCGCTAAAAAAAAAAGGGGCAGGCGCGACTCGAGGCGCGTTTCGGTGGGCCCAAGGAACAGTCCCTAGGAGGGGACCTGCTCTGATTCCATGTGACAATGAGAACGAGAATGGATGAACTATGAATGAAGTGAGTACATATAGGAAACCCTAATTGGGTTGTACCCCCTATGGGATACCCCACTATAGCCTACACAACAGCATAAGCTATATATATGTTCTGACATTCTCAACTGAAATAACCGAAAACAAAAAATAAATGGGTGGTTGTGACTTTATCAGGAAGGAACAAAAAATACTCTTCAACACGTCTCTTATGTCGGACTCACCCAGATTATCGAATGACGACTTCTCGAGTCGCTTCCTCTTTTCTCCTTGATCCATGGTCCTCGAGCCATCCGCAAGCGGAGATGGCTGCAGCAACACAAGAGAGATGTACAACGTCAAATACAGGAAAGGTGTCGGTTGTAACAAGAGAGGTGGTGGCCGAAGAACCTGTGGCGGATGGTTTGGAAGTGGTAAGAGATATGGCAGGTGAAGTGGCGCCTATGACAGGTGAGGTGACGGTTGTGGCAGGTGAGGTGGCAGGTATATAAGGTAGGTGGCGGCTGTAACAAAGAGTGACAGCTTCTTCTTTGGGGGGGGGGGGGGGGGGCGGCCGCCGCCCTCGCCGCAGCTGGCGGGTGGGAGGGGGTTGGGGGGGGGGGGCGGCTGCGGCAACTGGCGGGTGGGGGGAGGGGGAGGAGGGGGCGGCGGCCGCCGCCGCCGCCGCAGCAGGCGGGTTGGGGGGGGGGGGGGGGGGGGGGGCGGCCGCCGCGGCAGTAGGCGGGTGGGGGGGGCGCGGCCGCCGCCGCCGCCGCCCCCGCAGGCGCGTGGGGGGGGCGCGGCCGCCGCCGCGTCCGCAGCCGGCGGTTGGGGAGGGGAGGCCGCCGCGGCCACAGCCGGCGGGTGGGGAGGGGAGGCCGTCCGCAGCAGCTGAGAAGGGAACAAATTGGCAAGTTACCGAACTTAGAGCGTACGGAAACTGAGTGTTATGGTGTGTACTTACCACAGCAGAACGGCACTCGCTAACGTCACGCGTGGCGAATCCAAGGGCGCGTGTGCTTTGAGAAGAGCCAACCGAGGAAGATTCGCGAGGATCTATGAAAAGGGTAAGGAAAAGAGGGTGGGGAGCAGGAAGGGAGGGTCCAAGGGAGGCGTTGCTGTGTCAGAAACAAGAAGTGTGTGAACTATGAAAAGTTGGAGTACAAGGAGCGAACCCTAGTTTTGTGTACCCCCTAAAGGCTAACCCACTATAGCCTACACAACAACAACACATATAGTGTTTGACACACCCCCATAGGCAAAGTGGGGGAGAGCAAGGGGTCACAAGACCAGTCAGGAAAGGCAAGCAAGCTCAAGGTGGATCACAACGTCACCACACATTCCGAGCACAAGCAAAGGGCCACATGGCCAGTTCACATGCAGAAGTATATATGTAGTACAAACAGCAAGGGTGATCTCAGCCTACGTAGCGGGCCAGAAGGCCAAGAGGGTATGCTAGGTCAGGACGAGTGCAAGTCATCAGGTACATGAGGCAACCAACTAGCTCTGGGTAAGGACCACTCGACTCTACGGACTCATCCGAAGGCAGAGCTGAGAGCGAGTGACCTACAGCCAGAGGAGTGGCCTGTGCTGAGGACCAGGTGAAGCCGAAGCGCTGAAGAACCTGCTGCACCATGTGTGACTGAGTCAGGGTAATGGTGCGGCGTGCTCTGTCCCGGGTGATCTGCAAGCCAAGGTAGCTGCGCAGTTCACCCAGGTCTGTGCACGTGTGTCTCTTCTGCAGCTCCGACTTCACGTGGGCGAGAGACTCAGTGTCAGCAGCGGCAAAGACCAAGTCGTCGACGTACACGAGGATGTAGAATGGCGGCAGCGAAGTGTCGGTGCGCAGAAACAGCGACGGGTCAGCAGTAGAAGGAGAGAACCCAAGTGCCGCAAGAGTAGTCCTCAGTGTGTCGTGCCACTCACGTGGCGCCTGGCGGAGACCGTAGACCGGCCGCCGGAGGCTCCACTGGGTACCAGGAGGAAACGACCCAGTGAAACCAGGAGGGCGGCGCAGCCAGATCTCCTCGTGCAGACTGCCATGCAAGAAAGCTGTGCTGAAGTCAAGAGAGTGAAGCTCGTAGTCACGCTGAGCAGCAACGTGCAGTAGTACCCGAAGAGTGGTCATCTTCGGGGTGGGGGAGAAAGGCTGAAAGAAGTCTACTCCCTCTCGCTGACTGAAGCCTCGAGCAACGTAACGAGCCTTGAAGACAGGCGGAGAACCCGGCGGCCGCTTCACCCTGAAAATCCACATGCCACTGACGATGTTCGCCCCTGGTGGGGGAACCTCGTCGACGTAGGTGCCTGTGGACATCCAGGAAGCCATCTCTGCGTCCATGGCTGACTGCCACTGTGAGGAGTAGGGACCCTCGATCGCCTCAGCGTACGATCGAGGAGTCGGGATGTCTGGTGCATCCGGGTCTCCCTCAGGGGCAATCAGCATGGACACGAGATGGGGCGCAGCGGCTGCAAGACACTCAAGGTCCTCCTGTCTGTCCTCAAGAACGTCCGTGCTAAGAGCACACTCACCCCCGACGGACGGAGGACAGACAGACTCAGACTCAGCAACAAGACTAGCGGCGTAGTCTAGACGATAGCGAGCAGCAAAGTCGACAAGCTCAGCAACTAGGGCAGACGCAGCAGCCGACTCAAAAGAAGGGTCAGTGACAGCAGTGGCCAGGAGACGCGTGACAGTAGGACTGGCAGCACGGACGGAGTCAGAGTCCGGGTCAGCAAGGGTAGGAAGAGAGGACGGAGGAGGAGACGGCAGAGGGACACGCTGTGGAGCAGTGGAGGGACGCAGTGACATCCGGTGTGTGCCAGGGACAGGTGGCGGACGCGCACGTGGTACACGGCGACTAGCGCAAGCAGTACGAACAGGTGACACAGGACGGGACACAGGTGACACAAGACGAGACTCAGGCTCACGACGCTCTGTAAGCCCGCCTATCGGACCAGTGTAGGGAGAAGGACCAGGAAGCGGCGAGGCAGTCGGTAGCTGTGACTGCGACTGGACAGGCGGAGGACACTCTACGAAGGGAGGAGGACTAGGAGGAGGCGGCTGACCAAGAACCTGCTGAAGGAGTGGAACGAAGTACGGCCGCGGCCGTGAAGTGCCCCCAGCAGCAGCAGAGACAGCACCAGAACCTCCAGCAGCTCCAGCAGAACCTCCAGCAGCTCCAGCAGCACCTCCAGCACCTCCAGCAGTACCTCCAGCAGCTCCAGTACCTCCAGCAGCTCCAGTAGCACCTCGAGCACCTCCAGCAGTACCTCCAGCAGCTCCAGTACCTCCAGCAGCACCAGCAGCAGCTCCAGTAGCTCCAGGACCTCCAGCAGCTCCAACACCTCCAGCAGCACCAGCAGCACCAGCAGCACCAGCAGGCGCTCCAGGACCTCCAACAGCAGTAGGGTCTCCAGCGGGCTGCACCTCAACACCGGGAGCTCCACTCCGGAGGCTGCAGCGCCGAGCGTACCACTCACGCAGCCGCTGAGGGGAGGGAGGCTCCGGCTGCGACACGGCACCCGCAGGACCACTAGTCCCAACTCCAGTAGACCCCACAGCTCCAGTAGCCCCACGACGGAGGCTGTAACGCTGGGAGTACCGCTCACGCAGCTGCTGTGAAGAAGGAGCGCCAGCAGGCGCAGTACGGTCAGTCTCAAAGCCCCCAGCCTCAGCACCTCTAGGCACAACACCCCCAATCGCAGTACCTCCAGGCTCAGCACCCGCAGTCTCCGCACCCCCAGTCTCAGCACCCCCAGTCTCAGCACCCCCAGGCTCAGCGCCCCCAGAACCAGCACCCCCAGGCTCAGCGCCCCCAGACCCAGCACCTCGCACAGACCAGAGTCAACAGCTACCTCGACAGGCTCGACCGGGTCTACCTGGGAAACACCTGAGGGAGCAGGACCCTGGGGAGGGAGGGGGTCTACCGAAGCAGCACCTGGCGTGAGGAAGAGCGGCGGAGGGGGGTGCGGGGCAGTGCGGTAGGGGAAGAGACGGTAAAAGGGTACCGACTCGTCAAAGGTGACGTCCTGAGAGGCGAAGACCCGGCGCGAGGTGGGGTGGTAAAACTGCCAGCCAGGCGCGTCAGGGACAAAGCCAAGGAAGACACAGGGAACGGCATGGGAGGAGAGCTTGTCCGCGGACGTATCGCGGACAAAGGGTCGACATCCCCAGACTCGGAACACCGACGTATCGCCAACCTCCCCCGTCCAACGCAGGGTAGGCGAGGTCTCCGGAACAGAGACACGGGGCCAGAGGTTGAGCTGATGCGCGGCGTACTGCACTGCAAACGGCCACAGGAAATGGGGGGCAGCCGCATGGATCATGGAGGTACGAGCGACCTCCATGGCAAGACCAATGCGGCGCTCAGCAATCCCATTCTGCTGTGGAGAGGCCGGGAGCGTGAACGACTGGGTGATGCCGTGCTCCGCACAGTAGGCTGCCAAGAGGTCAGAGGAAAACTCGCCACCTCTGTCAGAGTGCAGACGCAGGACTGGAAAGTCCGACTGGAACCGCTGGCGGAGCTGGAGACGAGCAGCGCAGATCCAGGGGATCAAGACATCACGGACCTCACCCTTGGTACGCAAGGGGAAGACCGTGGTGTAGCGCGTGTAGTCGTCGACGACCAGCAGAAAGTACCGCTCGTGGCCCTGTCCCCGGACGCGGGCGGGGCCCACACGTCCAGGTGGAGAGTCTGCAGGGGAGCCTCTGTGGGAGGGAACGAGGAGGAGTGAGGAGCGGCGCGCTGCCGCCCCTCGACACAGGGAAGACAAGGAGGAGCAGGCGAGGGTGGGAGGGGAGGGAGAACCCTGGGAAGACTAGAGACAAGGTACCTGGAGTGCATGCCGCGAAGGCGTTGCACTGACGGGTGACCAAGGCGGTGGTGCCAGAGGACAGTCCTGTGTGACAGGGAGCGACACGAGTAGGGGGCCGACAGCTGACCTGACGCAGACGCAGACGCAGCTACCTGAGGGGACTCAGTGGTCAGTGTGTACAAGTCCGACCCCGGCTGCCGAGTGAAGGTAGCGAGGTGACGACCCGTCCGCGCACACGTGCAGTGCGTCACACGCTCGTAGGCCGGGGTGAACTGGTGAACACCCGCGTCCTGGAGCGCGGAACCCGCCACCAAGTTCGTAGAGAACGAGGGGAGGTAGAGGCCCGACAGCGTGCCAGACGGGACAGCAGGACAAGGGAGGGCAGTGGTGGAGGTCGCAAGGACCGGACCCCCTGAGGGGTCAGCCAGGGAGACAGCAACCGGTCGAGGAAGCTGCTCCAGGGCAGTGCGGTCGCAGAAGAAACAGCGGGAAGCACCGGAGTCCAGTGTGAAGGTGTGCAGTGCCTCAGTAGGTGCGGTACCAGCAGACGTAGACGCACTAGCACCTAGGGCAGCAGCCTCACCAGGACCTAGAGCAGCAGACGCACTAGCACCTAGAGCTGCAGCCTCACTGGTCCCAATGCCCGGGTCGGGCGGTACACTCAGGTAACAGTCACCCTCAGCACTAATAGTCAATGCATACATAGCAGCAAGGATAGCATCATAATCAAGAGCAAAGATATCAATCCCCTTCCTAAGCAGATCAGCCCAGCGGGGCAGCTCAGAGGCGTCAGAGAACTGCTCGCGCCAGGCGTCGTCAAGGCGAAAGAAGCAGCGCTGCGCCGTGTGAAACTTCCCACAAGTCTGGCCAGTGCGGTCACCTGTGCGGATGACATACGGGCAGGTATCCCCTCCCCCAGACCCCCCACGCTGAGAGTACCACTCACGGAGTTGCTGGGGCGAGGGAGTCTCGCCGGGGCGCTGCTGCTGCTGCCTCTGGCCACCGCCAAACCCCCCACGCTGCACCGCTCCACCGCGCCCGCCACCCGCTCCACCGCCGCCACCACTGCCACCACCACCTCCACCACCCCCTCCACCGCCGCCGCCGCCACCACCCCCTGTGCCGCCACTGACCCCCCTACCACCCGCGCCACTCCCACTCCCGCCACCACCCCCGCCCCCCCCACCTCCTCCACCGCCGCTGCCCCCACCTCCACCTCCACCACCCCTGCCCCCCTTGCCCCTGCCGCCCTTGCGTCTCCCACTAGGAGCAGACGCGGCCCCGACCCCCTCAGCTCCGAGGTAGTCGACAGCAGCAGCAGATGCAATGGAGGGGAGGAGGGGGGAGGGGGAGCACCCCTCAAAGAAGGGGGTGCGGGGGTCACCACGAGAGGCACCTACAGCTACAATGCTCTTCTCAGCTGCTAGGAGCTCCTTCTCGA